TTCCAGCACCTACAAAAAGAAAAAGTGGTAAGTATTAATTAATTTTTAATTAATTAAAAATAAACTAATATTTACCTTTTCCCTATAGGACGAACACTCCGATCCAAGGAATCCCGCTCTACAAAAAGGATAAGGTAAGTATTTTATAATTTATTTAATTTAAAAATTTATTAATTAATAACTTTACCTTTTCTTCGTAGGACTCAGCTCCGAACCGATCGAACCAAGGTTTCCGGTACCTACAAAAAGAGAAAGAGGTAAGTAATATTTAATTTTTTTTAATTAATTAATTAAAAAAAAAAGAATACTAACCTTCCCCCTTCATAAAACTTGCCTCTGATTCTAGAATGGGCCTTTGTCATAACACCGAAACTGGGTTTCAGGTTTTGGATACTGTTTTGATTTTGGGTTGAGTTTCGGATTAATAAAAATGAAAAAATAAAAAAAATTAAAGTTATCGTTATAAAAAAAAAAATTGGTTAATCACTGATCATTACCAAAATTATTTTTATAATAATGTCACGTGAAATGCGATTATAAATAGTTTATTTATTAATTATTCAATATGCAAAAATCTTTTTTCCCGGTAATAGTGATTAACATATAGTTGTGATTATAAAAAGTGTAAATAAATATTATATTTTTGAAACATTAAAATTAAGTGATTATAGACAGGATGTGATTATAAACAGAATGATTATAGACAGATCTGACTGTATAAGAATAATTAGCATCTTCATATGATAGAATAATTGGATAATTTGAATTATTTTATATTATATGCATTTATAAATATTTAATATAAATAAGTTTTTAATTTGTTAATATTATTTAATTAAACTTTTAATAAATTATAAAATATTATTGCATATATTAATCCCTTAATCCTTTAATATATTATATATCAAAACCATAATTCAATTAATTTTAGATTTTGATACTATGCATTTTTGAATACATAATCTATTTGTAATTATTATATCAATATTATGAATTTTGTATCTTTTGAATTTTACAGATATTAGAAATATAATATTTGTGAATTTTGTAAATATTAGAAATCTTGTAATACTTATGAATATTATATTATATAAATAAGCAAAATATACTTTTTTTATTATTAGATTTTATATATACTGTATGAACATTTTGTAATAAAAGGGATAAACTTTAAAAAATATATTTTTTGAGTTAATATTAAATCTGAACTTATTTTACTAAAAAAAAAAAAAAAAAAAAAAAAAAATCATATTTAACTTATAAAGTAAAATTTTGATTTTTTTGTAATTTTCTCTTTACTGCAAACCTTTCATATAATAATATGCCACCTAAAAAAGAAATTCTAATTGATATCCAAAACATGGGTTCTATTTTAATATATAAAAGAACTTGAATATAGCTAGGATTAAAGAAAATTAGTAAGTTAAGTTTTACAAATTCACTATTATAAAAATTTTAGCAAAATAGCAACAAAATGATACCAATCTGTTACTATTTCAGAACTTAAGTTAGTACTTAAAGAACTTGCAGCTAACTTTTCTGTAAAGATTCTTTTGTATCTTTGAGAAATTTTACTGGAAGTCCAGTTTTAGTTTCTGTTTTATAACTACTCATTATAATATTGTTCTTATCATCCAAATTTGCTGCAACTGATCAAGTTTATCACAAGGAATTGTATTGAATCTGATGAGGAAATCTAGAAAAAAATAATGTGAATTGGATGAATATCTACATTATTTTTAAAAATGTATAATAAAATGCTCAACTAACGTTCAATTCTTTTTAATTTCATGATACGGAAATCGATCTGCAACAATAGATAAAATACGTCTCTTTCCATCTTGGCCCTTTTTATTTGCATTCAATGATTCCTGAACGTAATTCCATAAATTTCCGTCTGATTGCAAAGTTTGTTGGTACAGTACAAGATCACTTTGAATTCATGTCTCTCGATCTTTATCTGGATTTATTGATATTATCCAAAATTCAAACTGTAATATAATTTCAAATTAGTTTGTAACCTTTGTTATTAATGATGAATATTAATTATCTCACTTCACTTTGGTTTTTATTATAAGGTGTAATTTCTACACAACGTATCTGTCTAAGCATTTACCTCCAGGCGCAAATTTCGCGTGAATTCATTTGATATTCAAATCCATATAGTTGCATCAAGGAAGGTTCGCAATTCAATATTCTCACTTTGTTGATTTCTCCAATTGACATCAGATTTTGTTCGTTTATTGAGATGATATTCAAAAATTCGTTTGTGATAAATGTGTGATGTATATGATGGAATTTGTAGTTGGCTTATTAATGCTTGTGTATATTCATTATTTATACCAAACAGCTCGTTAGCATTGAATTCCGGTTTATGATCTATTTTGAGACCAAACATCTACTGAATCTTTTCCATAGACAATTGTTCCGAGTTCATTTCCTTCATAAATATTGAGAATACATTTTTTATCAGTAAAGTGTTACTTCGTCATTTTTATTATTTTCAGTCGCGACCCAGCATTCACGAGAAAAAGTATTTCTAAAATAAATTTTCCAGCACTAATTAGTGTTGTAGGATATTTACAAGAATAAATGTGTGAAAAAAACTCGAGATTCTAAACTTTTTATTCCCGATATGAATTTGTCCGAATGTTACACAAATCACGAATTAACTAATTACTAAAATTGGGAATTACTTAATCTTAACAATTTAGGTTTGTGATTGACCAAAAGGAGAATTATAAGTAGGTACTTTAAGATTTATTTATACAATCGTTTGGAAAATACACATTATTATCTCTCATTAAATTATAAAGGGTTTTCCTCATTCTTTCATCACAATTACGGTTTTTGAGAGAAAGAACAATATGCTGGAATGTTTGTGCGGTAGGACGAAAGCCATGTTCTTGAAATTTAATAACAGCTTCAAGAGCGACAGTTGGATTTTGCATACGACACAGGGAATTAATTAAATCATTATATGAGCTTTTATCTAAAGGGATTTGATTATCAGCCATTTGATGAAGCACGATTAATGCTTCATTAAATTTCTCATTTCTTAATAAACAACTCATCAAGAAAGTGTACATATATCTTCGAATTTCTTTTGGTCTCATTTCACTCAATTTAAAATCGGAGGATAAATTCGTATCATCAATATCTGAATTTTCCTTTTCATTATAAGTAACATTCTCCGATACAACAATATCTTTGAATATAGCGTGCATCGCGTACCTCATACTCAAAAAAGCACCCGTTCCGATTCCAGCCACGGTCAACCCATTTATATCCTGTACGACCGCTGCAAGAGCGAATATGATACATTTAGCAACAAGAGCGCCAACCCCTAAATGCATGAACGTCTTCACCCAAACCCTTGTCCTCACAGAGAAAAATATTGAGTCAATTGAGGAATCTATTGTATGAAAAGCCCGATCCAAATCTAATTTATTAGCGCACGCAAAGATCAATAATTTATAAGTGCTAACGTTCAACCTTACAAAAGTTTCCAACATTTCATTATAAGCGGCATATGCAAGATCAGTTCTCTTTGCAATTCCACATACTAAAATATATGAGTTGTAAACATAAGTTGTCTTACAATTCTGATCCAACCTTTCAATCATTTGATTTGCAACTCTTATTACATCGTCCGTTGTATGTGTATTTGATGGAATATCTATCCAATACTTTGACATGTCCTCACTTAACGAATTCATCGAAAAATTATTTAATGGACTCTTATTATGATCTTGTATAATTAACCTTGAACACGCTTTGAATGCTTCTCTGATAGTTTGTGGATGTGGCGTATGATGTTTGTAGAAAAGTCGATTCACGGCATTCTCAAGTTGTGTTATATTCTTGCAATATTTAAAAACTTTATTAAAGCTTTCAGTTGAATAATGCTTTTTTTGTATCATAGAAATTATTGACGTATTAACAAAGGAGAGTTTGGTCATATTTCGATTCTGAAATTTGATGAGTGATGTGTGTGGAAGTTTACTACATATTATCATTCCATCTGCAAACAATAGTAGTCTTGAAAATTTTGACATGATTTTATGGAACAAAAAAAAAAAGAATTTGTTCACACTAAATGAGATCATCAAACTCGGCGGGTTACACGGGAAACAAAAAATTCAGAAAAAAATTTAGTCGTTTCAATGCATCAGCCGGGAGTTGAACCCGGGCCACTCGCTTGGAAGGCGAGTATTCTGCCGCTATACTACTGATGCTTATCATATATTAATTTGTAGAATTAAAAATTGATCAAATACATTACAAATTTACCGATTTGATTTTGGTGGGACCGTCCTACAAAGGTAATTAAAAAAAAAACAAAACTAACGAATGAGTTACATACCTGCGAACTAAGGGTTTGACGTTCGCGATTTTCTTATATTCGGAAAATTGCAATATTCTTTTAAGTTCAGGTGAGGTGAATCCGATAGAATTACATATTTTTTTATTTTTATTTTTTTTAAAAACATTTTTACTAGTCCGAACTTGAGGTTCAACAATATACCAATATCCACATGAGAAAATACCTATATACCCTGCAACTCACTATACCCGCGGATATAATTCGATTTTTAAATTGGGTAAGTTGATTTAAATCCTGGATATTTTAGTCAAATGATAAATAAAATAAATAACATATTCACAAAATAAAGAAAACTTTGAGAAGCAGTTGACGCGTGATCAGCTCAAAAAAGAATCTTCTGAAGCTTCCGAAGAGTATATTATTGTTTTAAATTTACATAGTCGTTCTAAATAATAAGCACAAAACCTAAAAATGCATTTGCAATTCATTTTATTCATCCAGAATAAAATATTCTCAGACACACGCCCCCATCATATTAAAAATCACAAGCCCAATGTGCGCAAACATTTAATATGTAAATTGTTTACAAAGCAAATTATGGACCAGTTTTTCTTTGTCTTAACTATCACATTTTCCCAACATTCATCAATATTCATATTCCGAATAAAACAACATTTTCGACAGTTATACTTTATGAGAACGCAAATCATAAGGTCATTTACTATTTTGTCATTTTTACTTAAATTTATAATTAAAATGATGTCATTCATGGGTCATTTGCCATACGTAGTTTCAGAAAAATCAATCAACAGTTAATAACATTAATCTTAGCAAAAACCCGCCGAAAATTATATTCGCATTCCATGGTCTTAAGAAATATAGTCATTAGTTTGCGAAATGTTTCATCCAAACTTCAATAATTTTTTCGTCAATGCTTCTTTCAAACTGTGATAATGTACGTCGGCTTTTTTTTTATACGAGTTCATAACGTTTAGCTCGGAGAAGATAATACAAGCTAAGTAGGGTGGCTTAGTTGATCATCTCGGAAATAATTGTTCCGAATAGATAATCAAATGAATCATAAAGCAAGAATTATTAGCTAAGTTTATACGAATAAGTATATATATACCCAAACTTTCCCATTAGAATTTCTCTCGAAAAATATTTTTATATTTTCCGTTGTTATTTCCTCCATAAAAATTACGAGAAATAAATTTTATACTATCAAAAACCTACTTTCCAAAATTTTAAAAATGGCAACTTATGTTCGATCCATCTTTACTCGCTACCTACACTCACCAACCTTGATCAAGTCTCCACATAGCCCTAGTACCACCAGACGCAACGCCATTGCCAGAAATGGACTTCATATGATTCATGTTGCCACTACCAGAAATATATCTAGTACCAGTAAACTTGGTCGTGTGACAAAGGACCAAACGAGATACTTTGAAAGAATTTTTACAAGATTATGACAAACGAGCAGAAAAACGCGTGAAGGAATTTTTTGAAAGCTTTGAAAAGCAGCTCGATTACAAATTCGCGAGTCATGAAAAGCAGCAAAAGGACATGTTCGATTACAGATTCGCGAAATTCGAAATAAACTTCTAATCATGTTGCTTGGTGGATTTTCTGGACTTGTTGGAAAGTATATTTATGATGAAAAAGTTAAGAAAGAGAATTATTAACATTCTATTCATTTAAATATATTTTTCGTATTTATGAAGAAAATTATTTTCTAAAAAAAAAAAACTATATCGAAATAGCTTATTACTCATTTTTTTTTTCTCTTATTGCGTAATACAAATTATTATTATCATATCATTTGATTAATAGCATGTTTATGGGTGGCAAACTTAACTTTTCAAATTCTAACAAGCGAAAATGATTTTTAATTATTATGTAATTTTAATTTTCTTTAATTTTTTTATAGAACTTTTCAAATAATAAAAAATGGTTGAAAGCATCTAGTTTTACATAATATTTAGTCATATTCGGCATTATTTTTTTCAAGCAGTGACCCAATTGAAGTTAAAGAAAATTGCTTCTTGGTGTTAATTGCTGCGTCACATTAGATTTCTTTGTAAATTCCTCTTAATGAAAGATATAAATTTGTTAATTGATGTATTAAAACTATATAAAACTTAAAATAATAATATAAAATATCAGTTTAAAAAATTTGTTACTTATTATTAGTATTGATTGAATTTAAATTGTGACGAATAATTAAAAGATAATAATTCTTTTCTTGATAAATTAAAAAAATAATTATCAGTTGTGTGAATAAATAGTTTCCCACCGATATTTTCAAAACAAATTAAATTAATCAAACCAATAATTTTTAAAGATAAAAAAGATTTACTTGACAATGGATTTTAAAAAAACATAATTTACATTTAAAAATAAATCAATCAAATCGAGTTGAAAATAAAAAGAACAGATTTAAACGAAATCATTAAAAGGAAAAGGCGAAGTTTTTAAACACCTGGAGGGTAAAATTAATGATTCAATATTGTTGTTATTATTAAAATCATTAAAGTTTGTACCATTAAATAAATTATTTTCAAATGGTTTGGTTGATGCTAGCTGAGCAATTCGCTCGAGGGTATTGGTATTGTTTATTGAACGATTTTACGAAAACCGTTTTGATTTTTATTGTTATAATCATTATTTTTAATATTTGAATTATCCGTGTCGTCCATTGTCTTGACTTGATTATTTTTATAAGATTTTTTACCTTAAAAGAATCTGATTGTAATCAATCTTATTGATATGCTTAAAGATGAATAAAACTTTAAAATAAATTTTTACTCGATCGACATCGAATGTTAAAAAGGTACGTGTTTGGTTTTCCTAAAGTGTACATTCCTTTGTTCAACGTTAAATATTGTCCGTCGTCAGAAAAGATATTCAAAAACAAAAACTAATCATAAACAGAAATTCAATCATTATAAATCTAAACTCTTTACCTCAATTGCATTTTTTAATTTATTTGAATTTATTCTTTCTTTTTTTCATATTAAATTCTTTGGCATTTGTTTCGAATGATAAAAACGTACATGTCATATATCCTACATTTTCTGTATTCAGGTATTCAAAAGGCTATATGTGTTACTAATTACGAATCCAATATTCATAAACGGAAATCGCCTCAAAATAATTTGATTGTAATTTGTAATAATCAACTTTATTTCAACAAATCAAAATTTTTTGAAAAATTTTTATTCACCTTAACATATAAAACAAAGTTTTTTTAATTTATTAAATTTATTCTTTTTTTTTTCACATTAATTCTTTGGCTTTTCTATCGAATGATAAAAACGTACGTGTCATATTCAACGCTTTACAATTGTCTGTCTTCAGAAAAATTTTATTCAAAGGAATCAAGTGTCATTAATTACGAATGTAATGAATTTCAATAATTACAAATTTAAAGATACTTTACCTCAAAATAATCTGTGGTCAAGGCAATCTATCCTGTTTATACAATTAGAATGAATGATCTTTACACATACGCAGCATTGATTTTCCGACGCACTTTTTTTTTTTTTTTACAGATTTTTCTTTTAGTTAATAAAAAAGGCATGTTGAGTATATTCTTTTGTTGATGATGATGCGATTAAATGTTTCACGCGTTACTATTGTCTTTCACAGAGAGTTTCCAAAAAAGAGATTTTTTGGTTTCATAATTGACTTTAAGATTGTCAAAAATGAATTCAATAATATTTTTTTACAACGCCTATAAACAAAGAATAAAAAGTCATTTAGCCAAATTGAAAGGATAATATAGAACTTAAATTGGAAAGGTGAATAAGGTCATAGATAATTATGATGGATGCTCTTCTGTAATTGCAAAGGTAAAAATGATAAAAAGGCCAAAAGTAGTCTACTAGTGATATCACGTGATCGAACAAATGAAACAAAAAATTGTTGAATCGTACTTTTCACTCTTTGTTCTTAAAATTGCCTCAATTATCTTGTTGAAGTCTGCATTATAAAAATTTTAATTTTTAATGTACTTTATTATTAACTAGATCAAGGAAAAATTTAGACAAAGGCAAAATTGAGGTAATTTAAAATCGGTTTATCCATTTCAAGAAATTAAAGATTTGCAAAGATGGAAATTTACATAATTTTTATTTTGCGTTATTTTAGAGTCTATAAATATAGCCTTCTTTTTTAATAAACGAAATTTAGAATAGATACATTGTGTTAAACGTAACATTCTTCATTATATATTATATATATCTCTAAATAAAAATAAAAGGATCAGTTTTTATTTCCAGTTTTATTTTTTTTTTCTCCTGGCAATCTAACTTTTCTTATGAAAAATAATTCAGAAATTTAAATTAAAATTAAAATCTTAATATTAGTTACTAAAGTTCATCTAGAACCAAAATTTTATTGATTTCGAAATGCCGATGTTACCGGAGGTTTTTCGACACCATAATTATAATTTACAAGATCAATTTCATTCAATATCGCCACAAACTTATGAACAGTCAACGAATCCTCAATATTTACCTTCATCCCCAAGTATAAAGCAGATCCTGCATATTTACTTCTACAACAAGAAAGTCCCAATTATTATTTATAACACCTCAGCGAGAAATAATAATATAAGTGGTAGCAAAATAATGATAATAATAATTCATTCATTATTAAAATCTCCAGTTCCTTCAGCCCCTTCGGCAGAATTGATTCTTGATGATGAATCATATTTTCTAGCAAATCCGAATTTTCATTCTCATCCATTTCCAAATTCTTATACAAATTTTTTATTCCCCAAACCCTATAACAAATACTTTTCCTTATCAATACTAAACAATTAATATGTACCAATCGAAACTGAAAGTACGATACCGTTAATTTATTTGTTTTTATGGGATTTGAATTTTATCCTTTTAGTGTTATTTCACCTTTTGTACTTCCAATACCATGATGATTAATTATCCCACCAATTGGTTATATATTATTAACTTGGTCAGTTTTTGTCCTGGAGATAAATATTCTCAATTTTTAGCTAATTCAATTCTTTTTCATTCAACTTTACTCCAATAACAGAGAATTAGCTCATTTAGAATTTTTGGAATTTAATTTAGTTACTACCTATCATTCTCATATTCCACGTGAGGATATTTTGATTACCTAATTCATGTCAAGATTGTGAATTAAATTTTAACGTAAATGATGTAGCACAAATACCATTTAGATTTGTACATATAATAAAACAATAGGAACGAAAAAAAAAAACACTTGTATAAAAATATTTTTTATTATATAATGTCCGAATCTAATGAAGGTGATTCTCGGTCAAAAATTAAAGCGCGTCTTTTAACATACAATCTTTTTTTAAGACCTCCACTCATCAAAAATAATATCAGTGACTATAAAGAAGCCAGACTCGAGTATTTTATTGATAATGTATTAGATAATTATGATATAATATGTTTAGAAGAGATGTTTAGCTTTGGAAGCAGTCGTCGTACTCGACTATTGGAAGCTGCTGAGAAAGCAGGGTTCAAATATTCTTTGACCTTACCTTGTAATGCCGCATTCAAATTAGCAATTGATGGTGGGTTAGTCTTGTTGAGTAGGTTCCCCATTATAGAAAGCAATACAATGATCTATCCAAGTGGTGTTTATAGTGATAGGTACTTAATTTAGCACTATATAAATTATTTCATTCAAAAAAAAACATAGTTTTGATTTATAAAAATAATATTAACCGATATATTAATTCTCAGATTTTCTAATAAAGGAGCGTTATATGCAAAAATCGAATTGTCACCAAAAGATGTCATTCATCTTTTTATGACTCATACTCAAGCTTCTTACATTTCAGCGCCACCTTTAACAGAAAAATCTGTAATCACTCGTCAGGAGCAATTATTTCACTTCCGTAAATTCATTGATAAATGTACTTTAAACGATCATCTCGAAGAGCCAATTATTTTAGTTGGTGATTTAAATGTTAATTCACGCCCTCGGCCCAATTCTCCTGATATTAATGGAGATACCGCTGAATATTTAAATATGATTAAAATCTTAAGTGGTGAAGGCATTGAAGCCAATCAAATTGATAAATCAGCATCTCTTGATGAACGTTTATATAATAATTCCAAGATAGTCAAGATAATAGATACTCTCAAAGAACGGTATGGAAATCATCCAATTACGTTTGGAGATGTAATTCTCGATGACAATGGTACTATAATCCCAAGAGAAACGGTTTTAACGGGAAAAGATGATTTACTATCTCAAGCTAGTTTGGATTATATTTTACTGTTAGGTGATCAATCAAAGCAACGAATATGGGTTGATATTCCAAGGACTCGCGTTGAGGAGTTCTTCGTTAATAACGCTTCAAGTTATCCGTTCAGTCAATTATCTGGTATGTAAATAAAGAAGTTATCAAGAAATTTTTTCTAATATTTTTTTTTTGACTAAAAAAATTATATAAATATGCGTTCTTTTTTTTTTTTTTACAGATCATTACGGTGTTAGTACCCATCTCATTGTCTCTTAACATTAAAGAAATTGTCTTCAAAGGAATCTTACAATTCGGAAACTAAATGTTCATGAATCAAGTCTTTTATAAGTTCAATTAGAAAATTTATTTCCTTCTAAATACCAAATTCTTTGACCTTGTTTATATCTTATAATATCTTGTAAACCTCCGGTCATTAAACCAACACCGGCTCCAATCATAATTGCATATCTCGTACTTTGTTTCGGTAATCGATCTATAAGAAAATAAATTCGTTTTGAATAATAATAATAATGCAAATTCCTGAAGGACAGCATTTAAAATAACTTACATATCCCAGAAACAATCGCACCACTCATAAAACCGGCAATAAAACTGTTAATAAAATCATTCTCTTTCCTAATAAAATCAAATGTGGTCTCTAAACCGCTATATAAGAAACATAATGCGCCCATTTTTGCAGAATATGGTAAACCAGTTCTTATCGCCCCCAGCGTAACTTTATAATTTTTCTGTTTGTGATAAAAATACCATTGTTCTTTGGTTTTTGGTAACACGTGTGCATGTTCTGCCAAGTATTGTAAGGAAGAACGTTTTGCTCCTTGTCGACTACCCGACATAAAACCCCATATTCCTCCTATAATACAAGTGGTAGTAATTTTTTGATAAGGTGTTAAGTTAGCTCGCAATGTGTATGAGGGTATTGAAGAGGTTGTCATCGTGAATTTTTTTTTGTAATATTGAATTGTTGGTTAAATCGTTAGATTTAATCAATAGATTTTGTAATTGAATTTGAATTATCAATCACATGAAATAAAATTATGTCAGCCCAAAGTTTCATGCAAGTAAATCATAATATCACGTGACGTTAATTGATAACGGTTCGGTTTCGGTTTGAATTGTAGTCTAGACCGAAGTTTAAACCATTCGAAAAAAAAAAAAATACAAAAATTTATTGTCAAAAATTTGACAAATAAATCTAAATCTATAAAATCTATATCAAAAAAAAAATATTTCGTTGATAAATTCATTCTTTTTTCTGAAATCCAATTTTTCATACAAATAATTGCCCTTGCAATTTCTGGATTTAACCTATATCTGGTTTTTGAAATAGCTAAACCTGAAATTGAAAAGGCCCTTTCTGAGAAACTGATGTTGATAATATCAGATAGGTATTGATTTTCTAAGGAAATAATTCTTGTAAATTATTGATAATTTCAGTTAAATTATTATTGAATAATGTGGTTTTGTAACATGGATCTAATACTGAGGAAATTGTTGAAGTTTGATTTAAAAGTTTATCTCAATATTTCTTTAATTTAGTATATATTGCTAAGGTTATTTCTTTTTATGTATTATGATTTCCTTTTTGATATTGATCTAATTTTTTAAACATTTCTTTAAAAATCAATCATATATCATCTTGTATAGGATGTAATGATGATAATAATAACTGTGTTGCCTTATATATAGGTTGTAAAGCTAAGGAAATTCCTAAAATTTAATAATACAGTAATTAATTATAGAAATAATGATTATAATAACAAAATAATAAATATATACCTTAATACGATTTTATTTATAAATTGTAGGAAATTTGTTACAAGTATATCTGAGACATTTTGCATTAAAATTTATCTAAAAATCATCAAGTATGTAGAATTTCAGCAAGTATCTATATCTAAAATTAATTTTAGAAATTTAACTTTTTTAATAATACAAATTTCTAATAATTTATCCAATAATATTGGTGAATTTTTTAATTTAATAACAAATTGACAAAGCCTTTTAATTTTATTTCTTACATATTTCATTTCAGCTTTTACTGTCAAGTTGATAATATAAATAGCATATCAAAAACGAGTAAAAGACATATCATTAAATTCTTGATCTAATTTTGCTGCTAATTAATTATCACATGCTATTATTTTATCTCCATTATCTATTATTAATACTAAAATTTTATGGCTAATATTGAATTTGAGAAAGGTTGTTTGTAATTAATTCTGCAGTATAAGATCTATTTATAAGATTTATAAGAATTAAATCAAGTAAAAGATCTTCTAATTCCTAATTATTATTGATATTATACATTATTATTTCAAAATAATGATTCTTTGGATTTAATATCTATACAGTATATCTGTTATAAGAGATATGGGTTGTAATCTAAGAAAATCAAGTTCTGAGAATTTTTTAATAAAATTGAGATTTTAATTGCATTTTAATTTTTATTACATTTAGATTAAAATGTAATAAGATATTAATTTTAGTCAAAAATTTCTCAGAATTTGATTTTTTTAGATCATAACCCATATCTTTAAATTAATTTGTGAAATTTCATTTTTTAAATTACTTCTTCTTATATCATAATTTTTTATAAAAAGATTATATTGTATCAATAACAAATCCAATCACATTTTTAGTTAATGATTCTTGTTTAGAATAAGATATGACAGAGAATTTTTTTCTTTAATTATATTACTAATAAAATTATGATCATCTTTTTGTAATGCTTCCAGATAACTTGTTGCAATACTTTTAGTAATTCAAAATTTGTCTACATGATAAAATATAATGAGGATTCAAATTATTGATAAACAATTTAAATTCAGGATTTTCAACAATGGAAAAAGTTATAAATTAGTTACAATAGTATTGAAGAATAATTTTAGTAAGAAAATATGGCAGAATTGATCTACTGGATGATCTACAAATTGATCTACATGTATTACGTGATATTCTTGACATTGTTGATATAGTTGACATTAATAACATTATTGACATTATTGACATTAATAACATTATCAACATTGTTGATATAGTTGATATAATAGATATAATTTATTTATTGTTATATGTAATTGAAAAGACATAAATATAGTAGATTTTAGAACTTGTAGAAAGTAGAAAGTTAGATTTCCTCTAGCCTGGTACTAATATTCTTCTTATATATTTTATTCTTGTCTTTTATTTTCAGAGAATTTTACTCGGATTTGTGTAATAATTCTTTAATTTTTATTTATTTATTTTATTATCAATAAACTATTTTATCATTTATTGCTGTGTGATCTATAAATGATAGTGTGATATTTAACATTAGAGTGAAATCTACAAATCTGCATGATGCATAAGTCTTAACGATAAGCTGAAATCTGAGTATAAACCTACAAGACAATCAGGTCTTTTGTATTTAATCTGTATAAAGATAATCAGGTCTTTTGTATTTAATCTGTGTAAAGACAATTAGGTCTTTTGTATTTAATCTGTGTAAAAACAATCAGGTCTTTTGTATTTAATCTGTGTAAAGATAATTAGGTCTTTGTGATAGCTTAATATCTTAGTGAAATATCAAATCAATACGTCTGAGTGACACAAGTTATAAGTTCAGAACTTAGGAATAAATTAGTAGATTACTACGTATATTAAAAAGAAACAATACTCGAACACCTCGTTTAACTGTAGCGATCTACCAAAATCGCACGTTTACAATAGCATCAATTAAAGAATTTATAATTGATTTAGATTGTGATAGAGAATAAAATTTAAAGCGTATTTCTTTCAAAGTAATTTAATAATTTTTAGATTTATTATAATATAATAAATGTTTTTTAGTTAAATGATTTTGAAGTGTTGTTGTTAGGTTGCCAAGAAAATAAAGTTTAACACATAAAGGCATTTATAATTTTTAATTAATTCATTTTCCTCATCTAGAACTTTAAAATTTTTTTCATATATCTAAATTGTGAGTTTTTATTATATAAGTTTCTTTTTCAGCTAAGAAAACTAAAGAAACATCTTTAACATTTCATAAGAAATATCACTAGACATATTAGCAATACAAACAATAATGTAAAATATATGTAATTTTAGTTAAAATGATCAATGATCAACATATTTTTTTCAGTTATATGATATTATATTTAAATTAGATTGATTATCTAAATCAGTCCAAATAATAGTTTAATTAATTCAATTTTAGTTCGATTTTAATCCTTAAACTGAACTAAAACTAGTTCTATAATTAGATTATAGTCTGAACTATTTAATCACAGACTTTAATATCTCTAGTTAGAATGCAGATACTTCATTCTAATAAAAACAAAAAAATAATTTATAAAGTTCTTTATTAAATGAATCTAATACTAGAATGTGCTATATAGTAAACTAATTGATTGAAGAAGAACTGATGAGAAATCTAACATTCCTATTTCTATTTAAAGAAAAGAAATCATTGAAATTTTAGCAGAAAAAAGGTTCTTGAAAAACTTTCTGATCAATAATTCTATAGGTATTATCATATTGAAGAATGAGATTGTGATCATCAACACCCATCAAGTTTAGATGAACTACAAGAAGAAAAAGATCTTATTTAGTTAAAGATTTGGCAATATCATTAAAATTGTCTTTATTATAATAAAACTATTCCAATTTGTTATATTCAATTTATAATAATTATTAATAAATATTATTTTCTTTTAAACAAAATTTTGATATATTTTTTAATCTAATTTTATAATATACAAATTTTATTTAATTTAAATAACTGATTAGATATAAATAATAAAATAAATCAATAAACAATAATTATAATTAAAAATTTTAAATAATGTTATAACATAAAATTTTAATTGAAAAATTTAATATACTAGTTGATGTTTTATATATACTTTGTATTTTTTTTCAAAATGAAAGTTATAATTTGAATGTTTTATAAAATAATCATATTTATTAGATTTAACAAATATGCTTATACTAGGAAAATCAATTATAAATGATCACTTGAGCCATATTTAAAATAAACAGGGATTTTGTATAATAAAATTTTTTAAAGTAACCACACGTGATTTTACAAATAGAATCCTCAAAGAATAATTGGAATTTTTTTGTTTCGCGGCATTATTATTAAATTTACCTAAATTGAATTAATAATTATTGTAATTTTTAAATTAAATACGACATGCCAGAAGTCATATGTATAATTAGAAGAAAATTAAAGCAGAATCAAAATTGTCAAATAAAAATTTTCCTCCTTATCCTTTGGATTCTAATTTATGTAAGTGATCCATTGAACAAGCATATTTAAAGGTTTTGACACTACAATATCTCTTTGGAACATTACAACCAGGAAATGCACAATTTGGAACGGGTGGAGGATATCTTAACCAAATCAACAAGAAATTTAGTTTATACATAAAAATAAATAAATAAAAAACAAATTTATTATTAAAGTACTTACTTTGGCCCCTTTTCGCATTGTATCTGTATGTCAGACCCGATCGGAAATGATAAAGTTGCGCCTTCAGCATTATTCACATAGTGGAGTGATGAAGGTGGCAATGAACTTGTACTACTAGAATCATTCTGTACACTATCTGTATCATCTTGATCTCTTGTTCGTCTTTTTGTAGATTGTTTCTTCAAAAGACGATTAATTGTATCCATCTAAACATTTTAAGTAAAAAAAATTTAATAAATAATATTTTCTTTTTCTCCGCGAATCATTTCCCGGATAGAAATTTACTTTATCTTGTTCTGCGCGCTGTATACTCTGATGTTTTCTTCGTCTCGCGATCTCAGACTTTTTCAAAGCGATTTCTTCCTCGGTCATATGTTTTTTTTTCATTGGCTCTATAGGATTTAAAAAATATATATATATCATATTAACTTATATTTGATGAATTCAAAACTAAGATCAAAAAATGATGAATTACCCATTGGGAGTTGTAACAGATCCTGTGGATAATTTTCATTAAGTTTTGCTCGTTGTCTCTTTGTAAGTATTCGATTGCCATGCGAAGAGGAAGATATTTCAGTAATGCTACATGATTATAATATATAACGAGTCATATAGTTAATAATCAAACCAAGGATAGGTTATATAAAGGAAAGGGGTGTCGCAGGATATCTCACCTTCCTACATTCGAAATAAAAATTAATATAATGCTTCATCACAAAAGTTATAAATCAATGCAATTACATTACATTTAATATTTATGACACACCTCTTTTCTTTGGAATTATTTGTTTATCTGGTACAGTTATCTGTTTCATTGAGGGTTGTAGGCCTTGAGTTTGTAGACTTCGGCCTCTTGTCCTTCTGGAAGATGATTCTTCTTCATAATCACTTTGTTCGTCATCTTCTTCGTCTTCTTCCTCATCCTCCACCTCAGTATCCTCCACCGCAAAATCCTCCTCCTCATCCACAGGAGTAGCATCGTCAGCATCTTCCATTTCTATGTCTATATCATCATCAATTGGTACCTCTAAATCTTCTTCATGTTCTTCAACTTCTTCCTCTTCTTCCGGTTCTTCCAACATATCCTCTTGTTCATCTTCTATATCCTCTTCTTCCGATTGATATGTATTGTCTTCTAATTTAATCGTTTCTTCCGTTTCTTCGTCGTCCTCTTCTTCATAAGTTGCTGACACGTCAGAATCGAGATCGGTAACGTCTGAAGTTTGGTCATATGATTTCGGCGTTTCTTGTCTAGAACGACTATATAGAGAGGTAGATCGTCTCGTGGACGGTCTCCTTGATAATGACATGTTTAAAATTTTCAAATGCGAAACAAATTTGTATTGATTGAAAAAAAAACATTTTCTTTAGATTTTGGATTTTGAGCATTATCGGCTAAACAATTTTGATTAACTTTGATTGGACAACAAGCAACAATTGTTCGCCGCAGTTAGAATTTCCGAAAAGAGCCAATCAAGTATCGACTCAATTTTGATGTGCTAAATCGATTATTTTTATAAAAGCCTAAACCTCATTTTGGAAGAGAAGTGTTTATTTAAACTTTTCAACGATTCATTGAACAAAATTCGTTACTAATGAAAACCATGTCTTTCTTTTGTTTTGGACGCCATAAAGTTATAAAATTTATAATTAAGTTCTTTTACCATTCTATACTGTCAGTTATGCGTTTATAGAACATTATTAAATTTAATTCAAATAAACAATAAATATTAAAAGATAATAATAATAAAATCTATAAGAACAGGAACGCGCTGTTGATTTCTATATTCGACATTTGGCCAGTGCGCATGGGTATATCGATATTGTTATTGATACCTAATAGGAAATTTTATAAAAGTATGTATTATAAATCACGTGAAATTTACGTTTTAGGAAAATATCTCGTAACACGAAATTTTAAAATCTCATAGATAATACATTATCAAATCTGAAAGTAATTGTAAGAGTCATAATTCCTTCAAGTTTCCACTAGTACTATAATAGTTAATTCGTCCTACTGTTTTTTAGGCACGGGCCATCATAAATTCAATTAGTATAATGATAAAATTTTAGGGGGTTGACACATTTTCACCAATATAAAATCAAACGACAAGGATCAAAAAAATATGTTACAGACAAAGCTTTCAGTTGGGAACCAATATTTTTCATACAAGTATTTACCCCAAAATTTATTCCGAAAACAATTTTTTGTTTAAAGATGTGAAACACAGAAGAATTCCTTTTTTAAAAAAAAGAAACAAAAAGTGATGAAAAGGAAAAAAGATTTATCTTATATTTCTAGAGTTAAATCTTTAAAATATCCTCAGCCATAGGGTTAAAAAACGAGAAATTATTATTGGAACCCGGAAATGCGAAAATCTAGGAATTAGATGTTTCCTCAAGCAGTAATGAGAAGCATTCAATACATCGAATAAAGTATTGAGAAAGCGATCATAGAACTTTCATTACATCATCCTTTAATTCATTTCATGTATTTCAGGTGCCAAGGTAAAAAAACTTGATTGATTATTATCTGCATAACCCATATTATTTGACAACAAGAAGATCGAAAATGTTAATTTATTTTTCCGTAATACAATTTTATATTGAATCAATGTATGTGGCTCATTTTAGAACAATTTCTTTATTTTACTTTGTAACACAAGTTTGACAGATTTCCATTAATAAATTGTCGGGGTTATTTGCATCGAAAAAAGTGTGATGCTTTCTTTTAAATAAAACTGTTTCTTACATTTAGTTTCGTATGTCCCTTTTGTTTTACTCCTTGCGAACTGGAACCTTTTTTTTTATATCAAAACAAACTATTAATTTTTAACTGACAATATATTAAAAAAAAACAGCACGCAAGGAAGAAAAACAATTCTTTTTTTTAAAAAAATTTTCACTTCACCTTCTTTTTTCTTTTCACTTATTTTTTCAAATAAGCAAATCTTTTCTTGCCATTTTTTGTGGTTTTTTATAATAACTCAATAATGAGCCATATGCCCGCAGATTACGAATCAGTAAGTGAACGGTTTTTGGTTTAGTTGGCTTTACTTAATTTGTGTTCAGAAAAAAATATATATGGTTTTCATACACAATATTATAATAAATGTGCTGCGTAACAAGTAGTTGCCACAACCACTGGACTCATATAAATTGTTTTCTTTCTATTTATTTATAAGAACAATAACAACAACGATAATACCAACAACAACAACGAAGCTTTCGAAATAAACGAAAGAAACAACGCAAACGAGATAAACGACTCTGAAACAGAAATTGAAATTGAAAATCATATTGAGAGTGATATCGACCCACTTCTCTCTCAGCTTTGTGCAATGTCCCCAGGTAGTTTTTGGAATTAACTTAGTGAAATTACTTTCGCTCATATTTAACATATTTTATTCTAATCTAAATTTACAGTAGTGACCGAAAGACGAGTTTTCATCGACGCGGTAATTCTTTTAATAAAAAGAAAATATTTATTTATTTATTCTTTACTAAATCATTTTTAAAATTTTTTAATTTAGGTCAACTCCATTGACGACAAGGAAGTACTTAGGAGCATGCTTATACAAAAAGAGCAAGAAAAAGACGACATAGCAAATAACTTGGACATAGCTGCACGTTTAGGTCTAGCAATATCAGAAAAGAACGAAGAGCTACAAAAGAAACTTAACTTTGCCACGCAGGCCGAGGCACAGGCATATATGAGGCTTACCGTTTTAGAAGAAGAAAATCGAAAGTTATTTTCTAAAGCTTCTCAAAGCAATGATCTTTCGTCCCAATTGGCTGCTAGCGAAGATCAGGTCAAAACTTTGCGTGAACATAAAGCTTTTCTTCAAAAAGAACTCGACACTGCTCGAAGGGAGCTAAAACGATTCCGTAAGGAATTGGATTCTCTAACTGGTCAAATGAACGATATGGTCGAAGATATGTGGGAATCACGAAACAAAGTAAACACATACTCCAAGAAATTAGGTAAACTATTTTCGTTCAAGTTTAAACTTCAATTTGTAAATATATACTTATAATTAATTTGATATATATATATATATATATTCTTATATATTTTAGTGGAGGTTGAACAACGTCTTTCAGATACACAAGAAACGAATGTCAATCTTTCCATATCATTAGATAGATCTTTGAATTCTCATAGAATTAATAGCGCCACAACTACTCAAATCGTAAAAATGATTCAGGCTGATCTTAGCAAAGTAAGCAATCAATAAATCAAGTAACCTATTATTTTTTCGACTTTCTTTTAAAATTTTTTTAATATCTTTTTCAGGTTGTTCTTGAGAATGAACATTTACGCGCTAGCGTCAGCGAATTGGAAAACCGCCAAGTGAAAACTGAGGGTAAATTAAGTGAAATGATGGTTTCGGCTCAAGAATATGCACATCTTTTGGAAGAAGCACAAGATACTATACATTCGCTAAGCGAGACTCGCCTCGAATCTGATATCGAGAATTTGGATATATCACCTGGACGAAGCCGCGGACACGCTGATAAAATAATCCTCAAGGTAATGTAAATATTTTTGTATTTGTCTGATATTTATATCATTCATATAGGATGAAATTAATTGAAATTTATTTACTTATTTTGCAGGAGTCTCCTCAAATGAAAGGCACACCATTTTCAACGGAAGTTGAACAACAATTGGAAAAGACTATAGAGGAAAGACTTAAATCACAGATGAATCCGACCCGAACTCATTTCCCACAGAGTCATAAAACTTCTGAAGATATGAAAAAAGCAGCAGCAGGCCTAAAATATTTATTATCTGCTCGCGAAGTAGAGGGGAAAGATGTTGGCAAAGGCAAAAGTCCAGAGAGACTACCATTCGGTGGCGGTGTATTACATTCTTACAACGTTCGATAAATTACATGATATATAATTAATTTTTATTTATAACAAATCTCGCAAAAAAAAAAAAAATAGTTGGGACATTTGTTATATTATAATTATGCTTATTATAACTTTGCTAAACCCTATATTATTATAATTCACATTATTTACCAAATTATATACTATTATTACTATTACATTCTATCACTATCATAAGGCAAGTCTATTATTAAATTTAGAAATCATGATTTTTAGCATTATAATATATCGTTGTGTTATTCAGTAGCAAGTTAGTTACATAGACGCATGCAAAGTGCATTTGTTTATTAAACACTTATATTTACATTTAGTTCGATCTTAATTTTTCTGCTTCATTATGGTTCATATCTGTACATACTAAATGTCATCATAAAACCTAAATGGGAATGATGCGTTTTTCTTTAAGCTATTTCAAAAAAAAAAAAGGTACTTGATGAGAACTAAAGGTGGAACATCTCATCAGCAAAATTAGGATGATTATTATTATTATTATTATTATTATTACAGTATTTATATCTTTTTTTTTTATTGTTAATATCAAAAAAAAAAAAAATTTCAATTTTCTTTAACGATTGATTTCAAATATATATAGTTAGCTTATTTTTTAATTTTATTATTATTCAGTGTTCAAACTTCTGATGGAACATCTTATTTTTGTTTAGAAAATTATTTCATTGAACATAAAAAAACCTTCAATTGCATTAAATGATGAAACCTTAAATTTTTATCGGGGAAATAAAGTGTAATTATCAAACATTTCAATTATCAATTTGAAATTCGATAATAAATCTTAGGTGTAGCGTTTTATTTTAACTTAATATAAATTTAATATAATATATTTTTTTTTAGTTATCTTTATTTAAACCTTTATAATTAAACAATAATAAAGCACAAGTTTCCAGATTGTCTCCCACATTTGTTAAATACCAATGAAATGTAAATTTAGAAAAGAATGCCCTGTCAAATCGTTGTATTTGAATAAATCTATATTAGTAATACAAAAGAAATCTTTCATATAAGTATTGATTTTCATGGTTGACAGCTTTTTTGAACCATTGATAGACTTATGTGTACTAATCTAACCAAATGTTTACTAACGATTTAATATTTATTTGTCATGCGGAAAAATTAAATCGGTGGGGAGTTAATATGCAATTTGATGGGGAAAATTTTTATTATTAGGTAAGCAAACTATAAATACATACATATTTAGGCGATAATCTTTTTTTTTTGGTTTACTATAATTAACTATTAGAATCGAAAGTTCTCTTTTGAATTACGAAAATTTAGAGAATAACGAAAACTACACCGCATTTTAGTGTATTATCTTGTAATATTTTAGAATTACCGTTGGGGGGGGGGGGGGGGTTTTCCTTAAATTAATTTTCTTTAACATAAGAAGAATCGATAA